AGAGAGAGAGAGAGAGAGAGAGAGAGAGAGAGAAATACGCTTTATTTTGAAAATATCCTTCTAAAATTTTAGCGAACAACGTCCTCCATTCAAAAATAATAAAATTAGGTGCATAAACTCACAACACCGGACAATCAAAAGTAATCCATAATCGCCAATGACTGCCATTTTCGACATGGTGGATAAATGTCCTTGGAATAGTCCTCAAATATAGGCCAAATTGAACTGCTTTCAAAACGGCGCTTGCGTTGTTTATAATGGCTGAAGTGGGCCAACCGACTCATATATAAGAAAATTAACATGCAAATGGAGGCAGGAAAAAAATTGCGACCCAATTTGAGAAGCCCTCGTCATAAATTGAAGAAACATTCCTTATGTTCTGTTCCTTCCTTCCTCCCTCCGCATCAACTCCCGTTTCATCCACTTTTTTGTGTTTGCTTCCAGACTATGATGATCGTCGTCCCAACGGTGGCCGAGGCTATTACGGCCGTTCCGATCGATACGCGGCGGATTACTCCGGCCGGGGTCCATCTCCGCGACGTTATGAACGCTCGAGGGATCGACGGTAACCTGTACCGGCTCTTACCCCTCCCCTTCCTCCCCCGCCGTTTGTTTATGTACATGTTTTGAGCCATCCAACCCTCACCTCGCTTATCTTGACGCAATCTCTGGTCTTCGTTGTTGGCGACTGAGAGATGCCCTCATTCCCTGCCCCCCCCATCGCCTTAAGCAATAAATTAGGTCGCATCTTGTTTTGCCCTGCGTGCTCAAAAAAATTTCCTGCTGCAAGACATCCCTTGCCCCTCGTTTTTATTCCATATGGAGCCATTTGGCCGGGCGCGTTTTTTGTATGTGTGGTTATCAATAAAGGGTATTTAAAGCGTCGATGCGAGTGTATTCCCTGCTACTCTAATGCCAGTTAATTCGGCTTTCGAAATCCGCAAGAACCACTGCCGACTGGCGGTAGCTGTGGTGACTTTCGGGTAGATTAAATTGGATTTTGAGGAATTTTCGAGGCATGAGCTCTACCCTCTCGCTCTCTCGCTAATAAATGTGTCGTAGAAGTTTATCAGGCATTCAATAGTAACCGTTAGTAGAGTCACACGCGCGTCCTCCTCAACCGGCACTTCTGACCATGCTTGACCCTGATGACTTCTATGCTGTTGCGGATCGTTCCTTTTTGCGCCTAACGATCTGTGACAACAAGCCAGCACAAGTAATTATCGCCTACTCGGTAACAGTTGCCATCATGGCTCTCTAGTGGACATTTTTCTCACCGGTTGCTAATTTTCGAACGCATGACCTTTAAGGTGCGATGGTTGATCAAAGTGCGTCTTCTTAGGAGGAGGGTTCCTGTACGGTAGGTCTTTCCTCCTTTTTCATCGTAGCGAGATTGGGGTACGTGGACTGGAGATTAGATGTAGCCCCCTCTTCCAGCTTGCCTTGTGTGTTTTGGCTTCCAGTTTGGGAGCCCAGATAGTTGATCCAAACAACTACATGTTTAGTAACAGTCTAGTTTCGGGCCCACTACAACAAACGAGAATCCCAGCATTCTGTGATATGGGACTGAATGGATTGAGCATACCAGGGAAAAGAACAAATAATTAAAAGTTCAGAGCGTAAAAAGTAATGGAAATC